AGCATAGAGGCCTGACCCAAATAAATCGTATTTAGGTCAGAGTATGTCAACCAATCATCGTTTGTGTAGCGAACTGTCACGGTTTTATTGTCCGGAATTTCGTTGGTGAGGGTCCAGATGGTGCCGAAAAGTGAAACGCTGTCTATTTTGCTCCTGTTGTATCTAAAAGTTAGGGTGGTAAATCTTTCTAGTACTACCTGATTGGTTAGGAGGCTGTTAGTGAAGTTTTCAAGGTCTCGAATCGATCGGGGGTTCAGAAAGTTGAACTGGCTAGATGACATTTCGGCGCTGACATGCTTAGTAAAATTTTTATTACTACCATCATCATCATTGTTGTTATTGCTGTTACTGTTGTTGTTGTTGTTGTTGTGGCGACTCGGGTCAAGATAACGACTAACTTCATCATCGTTCTCATCAGAGTCCGAGTTAGTTTGGCGACTGTCCGACAGCTGCAGACCGCAATCATCAGCGAAAACTACTCTCTTAGTAACTTTCCTTGCATTGTCATCCTCCTCTCTCGTATTACCACTGCTGTTGACAACATTATTAATGTCGTTATTATTATTATTATTATTTGTCGGCACATCCCTATTTTCAGACTGGCTCCCACTAATCTCGTCAGTGGAGTAAAACATTTCCCACTTTTTTATTCTTTCCTTGTCTGTGCTATTGTAATAGCTATCGCCGTCGTCGTCCGAGTAACTGTTATTGCTATCACTCTCAGTATCTGAGTAGCTACTATTTATATCACTATTGTTGATGCTATCATTGTCATCACCGTCATCATCATTAATATGAAAAAATGGTCTTTCCTCGTGAGTAGCTTCACTGACGTTTGCTTCACTAGTTCGGTTAGGAAGGTCGTTTGGAGAGTCATCGGTGCTGCTGCTGATGGTGGAGGGTTCTGTGTTATTTCCAGTCTGAAAATTGTCACTAAAATTGGCGTTGACATCATTTTCGACATCAATTTTTGTACCAGTACTAGCAGAATTATCATTGCTACTGCCATCAGTATTATCATTATCCATATTGTTAGTAGTACAAGTGCTGACGCTACTGTGGCTACTTTTACTACTACTACCACGACTACTACTACTGCCACAACAACTACCACTACTACTACTACGAGTAGTGGTGCTAATTAAAAACTGGTTGTTAGTAAACACAAACAGATATATTAGTTTAAAACTAGTAGACGGACTGGCCAGCGACAACAATGCTGATAAACCAACGGTGACCATGATGACGTATGACGACGGGTGCTCGGATTAACGGACTGACATTAAATTAACTGTTGGTATCGTCGTCGAGGATCTCCTCACTGAAGGACAAAGACTTCTCAAAGGCTAATAAATGTAAATATTAAAATTTTTTTTCATTTCGGATTTGTTTCGGCTGTCTTTAAGCAACATAGATAAAGTGACATTCTACCTTCGAGGTGAAAAATAAATTAAAATTTATTTTTAATTTGAAATTAGTGTATTGTAGCATTTAAAATTTAATTTTTAAAGAGAAATTTGAAGAAAAAAGCACCGACCCAAGAAAAGGAATGTCTAATAAATGCGTAAAAAGGAGATCTAAATAATAAGGACGCGTTCTTAGTTTTCATTGACATATAAGGAATAACTTTTTGAATTATACTCTGTGTCATTAGTACTTTGTAGTAAAAATAATTAATCTATAGATAGGTAGTAATAGTAGTAGCAAGAATAGTAAAAGCAAAGATGATAGTAGTAGTATCAGCAACAGTAGCTGTAGATTAGAAGCCATGGTAAAAGTTAAAATAGTCTATTTTTAGTTAAATTTAAAATTTTCTTGCTCACAAAATTTAATAATAATATAAATAAAGCACATACATACATACAAATATACAAACAAACAAACAAACATACAAACAAACATACATACATACATACGGACACAGATAAAAACATGCCAACAGACGAACACAATGTCGGAATCCATTTCTATACTAAAATATAAACATACATACACAGACACATACAAATATACACACATAAATGCACATGTACACGTGCATATGGATACAAGCAATACAAAACAAATACAAACAATCTTGATCTAGAAAATAATGTCAATATCATTGTTGTCAAAAAACCACGCCCTAACGAATACAGAGAAAATTGTGCCTATATACAAACTTATACATACTATATAAAAAATACATGAAAATACAAACAAACATACAAAACATTGTAAACAAACAAGCATACAAACGAAACAAAAAATGCATACAAAACATGTAAAAAGCAAGAAAAAAAAAACATTACAAAACTTCTGATAAATAAACATTCACGCTGGAATGATCACAGAATTTTTTCGATTTATGTTCGTATGTGTGTNCGTGTATATATATGTGTGTGTATGTACGTGCGTATGTACGTGTGTTGTACGCATGTGCAAATGTGTGTGTGTGTGTGCATGTGTATATGTGTATGATCATTTAGCAAACATAATCTTTAACTCTAATTCACCATCATTTGACTCTTAAGTAAAACACACACACACANATTTAAAGTACATAAACACACACATAAAAAAACAAACATAAACACATACGTACTTAAAAACAAACAAATATACATACACATACACAAAAACACACACACAAACTCCCACTACTCTCCCTACTCGAGACATAGAAACATTGTAAAACCACACACACACACACACACACATAAAGATACACAAACACACATATAAATACCAAACACATATACACATACATAAGCCAGCTTAACCACGTATATACAGCTGATATTATTGGGTGAAAAATTGCAGAAAAAAAAAATTTGTATATTTTTTTCCTTCTATAATTAACACGCACACACACACACACACACACACACACACACTCACACACACACACACACACATATATATATATATATATAAATGTATATATATATATATTTTTAATATATATATATATATATATATTTATATATAAAGTAACATATGGAATGTAACATTATAATATTTCAAATTATCTCACGAGAGAAGGAGAGAAAGAGAGAGAGAGAGAAAGAGAGAGAGATAAAAAACTGTCTAGGTTTTTATATTTTATTTAATATCATATATATAAATATTGCATATAAAAAAATATTTTTGTATTTTGTAATGAAAAGATGGAGAGAGAGGGGGAGAGAGAGTGAGAGAAAGAGAGAGAGAATAAGACAGAGGGAGAGACAGAGACAACAAAGTACCCCACCCATAATACATACTTCTATACTTCTTTATAATTTTTTCTTGTATTCACATTCATCACTAGAAAAGAAACCATTACGAATACAATAAACACACACACACACATATATTTACACACACACAACACACACACACACATACACACACATGCATACGGAACGCATGCACACGCACAAAGAAACATTAGAAAAACCAGACAGGCAAGCGAACATCCAATTCGAACCTACCACACATTCACTCTTCTATTGTACACGCAAAAACATACATTCGTACATGCATACATACACATACACACACACACACACACACACACATACATACACACATACACACACTTCCAGATAGTAAGCCTACATACAAACATACATACATTTATACACACACATACATAAATAACTTATACCAGGTATGCAAAAAAGATGAAAAAATAGAAACATGGTGAATATTGAATATTCACTTACTCATTCATTCATTCACTTCACCCACTCATTCATTCACTCATTCATTCATTCTCATTTATTTATTTATTTATTCATTCATTCATTCATTCATTCTCATTCATTCTCATTCATTCATTCCTTTATTCATTCATTCATTCATTCTTTCATTCATTCACTCATTCATTCATTCATTCATTCATTCACTCACTCACACCTACTCACAAGTACATACAAACACATATACACGCAAACATACCTACAAATTCAAAGATACCATCATGTAAAATAAGTACATAGATTGACAAAAATACAAAAAATTGAACATTACCCACACAGACACACACACAGACAAACGCATACACACAAACACATGCACACATATATACATCTCTTCTTTTTCTTCTACACAAATACAGAACACCGCACCTGTATGTATACTGTGTGTGTGTTTATATCTAAAAGTACACACATATACATACACTCACACATACATACGTACGTACATACATTCATACTGGCATACAAACATTCATACACACATACAAAAACATACATAGGAATATAAATACAAACACAGACAAACAAACGCCAACACCTACACAAACATACACATACAGAGAAGCCACGCTCACAACCACACACACACGCACACACATTTACACAAACAGATGAGCACACACACACACACACAAGTGTACAGATGGTAAGTTAGTATGTTTAGCTCTTTGTTTGGATGCAATGGTGAGTCAAAAACATGGTGAGCCATTGTATAACATTTAGCTAGGAAGAGCACATACTCACAGAAAAATCCTAACACTACTCTGATACAAATCTTCAAACTCTTCTACTATTTCCTTCTATTAGAAGAGCTAAAATGTATTAAGATTACCCTCTGAACATAGTATTTATCTATGTATGCTTATACATCCACATATAAACAAATACACACACATACATACATGTATATATACACGCACATACTTTCACATGTATGTATGGATTAGCCCTTATACCTACATCACATATAAATATATAGATATTTATGTGCATAAATGTACATGAAAATATATATAAATATATCCATATGTATATAAAATACCATTGTGTATGTATATGTAAATACCAAAATATCAAACATAAGCCGGTTATGATCCATGTAAAAAGTTTACATAAAATTGTAACCAATGATAGCAATTCATATATATGTATATATATATATATATATATATATATAGCCATACACCACTTTCGGATGAATATAAGGTATATATTTATAGATATGAATATATACAACATATATATATATATATAAATATGTGTGTGTGTGTGTGTGTGTGTGTTTATATCTAAAACTACACACACATACATTCACTCACACCGAAATACCGAAATATAGGAATACCGGAAAAAGCTTTTTTGTTCCATCATGCTTAGAATAAATAAAAATTTTGGTTTTGAACTCAAGAAATTTTACAATGATTTATTTACGATCAACCGTTAGAAAAATCGAGAAATTAAACCGGAAGTTAACTAATGCGAACATGATGTGATTTTCATCAATAATTGCATTTCTGACAGTCTTAAACCTATATATATATATATATATATATATATATATATATATATATGTGTGTGTGTGTGTGTGTGTGTGTGTGTGTGTTGTGTGTCTAAAACATGTTTATTTATATATACAAATATCATTTTTAGCTTAACTTCTATATCTTTAATTACGATATTTATCGCGTTGAGATAATAAGTATAATCGCGAATTATATATATATATATATATATATATATATATATATATATATATATATATTATCTACATGTATTTATTACACACATATTATAGACTATTATATATTATTATACATATATATATATATATATATATGTTATGCTTTCTGAATTTTAAAAATATCGCTAAATGCCCTTTTTGTATGAGACCCATAAGCTAACATTAACAGGCAAGTTGGGGCAGAATGATGGTTGTTTCGATGACTGTTGTTTTTAGCCAAGGGCTATATATATATAATCTATATATATGGTTGTTATTTTGTTAATTCTATCTATAGACATCTATATCTATATACATGCATATATGTATCGATAACAATATCTATAAGTATAACTCACATATGATAATAATATGAAAGTCCATAAATACATACAATAATACAATCTAAACGTGTGTATGTTTTAATATATATAGAATAATTTATAAATTGGTTATATAAATATATAATATATATATATATATATATATATATATAAGCAATTATTGATGAAAATGCACACACACACACACACACATATATATATATGTATATATATATATATATGCCTATACATGCCTATATATGTCTCTTGTGTGGTGTATGTGTTTATACGTGGGTTATTAGTTTGTATAATCTTGGATACACACTCATGCACTCATATATAAATATTAATAGAGATATATATATATATATGTATATATAAGTGTGTGTTTGTGTGCTTGTGTGTAATTTTCTCACATATATACTCCATAATATCTGTATATGCTCATTAGTTTCTTTTAATAAAACTTTTGAAGTCGATATTTTGATTATTATAAATAATTATATTATATATATTAATATTTTATTATATATTTATATATATATAGTTTTTCAAATTGTCGCAAAAAACTTTGTGTTTTGGATAGTGTTTTAAAAGTATTATTTATTAAAATTGAAGTTCATCAAAATTATTTACAAAGTTCTCTTCTCTGAAGTAAATTTCTCCATTTCCATTAACAAGAGAAGACAGTTATTACAACAAGTAGTTGAGTTTTATGAATTTTTTCAGTTTATATTGATAAAATTTGAATAAAATAAGTTTAATAAGATTTCATTTAAGTATTGCTATTTAATATTTTATTGCTGTTAAATATTTCAAAAAGTTGACGTATATACCAATTTTTTGCTTCTCACAAGTGTGCGTAGTTTTTTAAAAGTTAATTTTAGTATAAAAGATACCGTGCTTTCTGTGAAAAAAAGCCGGATGACGCGTTAATTTGCGCTATTTTTCTTAGAAATAAATTAAAAATTATAACGAAATTTACGGATTAAAAAGTTAGGTTTTATTTTTTGTAGATTTTCATTGTTAAAATGTCCAAATTAATGGTTTTTCGTTTATATAACTATAAAATAAATAACACCAAAATTTTTGTCGTCTGCCTTGCTTTTGCCACCTGACGGCTTAATTAATAATTGTTGCAGCTACTATTTTAAGAAAAGCACCGGATTTTATAATATTAGTTTTGCTACGTATGTTTATTCAATATTTTGGCTAAATCACGCTTGTGTGTCTGATCATACTGACGTTTCCATTTGCTTTCCCTAATTTTAGTGTCGCGTCAGATAGCCAACGGTCCTATGCAGCACCCCAGACCATTGATAGCTCTTTTGGACGGCAGAGATTGTTCAGTAGAAATGCCAATCTTAAAAGATGTCGCCACAGTCGCATTTTGTGATGCCCAGTCTACACAAGAGATACATGAAAAGGTTGAAAAAGTTGCTTTTTAATATTAATTTACTTTTATATTTTATTTAATAATTATTATTATGATAGGTATTTGAAATATTTATCAAATCTGCTGTTTAGTTTTAAATTAAATTTTTAACTTAGAAAAATCTAAGTTTTAGCCTATCTTGAAAAAAAAAGTATGGCAAATTGAATGTTTAATGAAATAATAGGTGATTTTAAGTTTATAATGATATCTAGTAATAATTGTGGATTGGGGTTAAGGAAGTTTTTGAGTAATTTTTATTCATTTAATGTTATCTATATATATATCTGAGCAGATTTATATTTTACCTTATCAACTGGCATAGCATGAGTCTATCTGTCGTAAAAAAAAACCCCACAATTCATTTTTGGCTCAGAACTCATGAATATTTTTCTGTCAATTTTTAATTAAAATGAAAATATCCCTAAAAATTAAACCAGGTCTTGAATGAAGCGTACGGGGCCATGTTGTACCATCATATTTCTCTGTCGCGAGAAGATCTTAAGAAATTCAAGGCACTTCGAGTCATTGTTAGATTAGGAACGGGCATCGATAATGTGGATGTCAAAGCGGCCGGTGAATTAGGTAGGTCAATTTAGGTAGTATATACTTGTTTGTTAGATCTGTTTATGTATGTATATACATCACTGTAAATTCAGTTTACGTATGAAATGACCAATTTATTTATGTCTCATTCATTCTTATTATATATCATTCCTGTTCAGTTCTGTGACTTTGCTGACACAATTCAACTTGTTGTTTTTTTAGTAATTATTTTTTATTCAAACCATTTCTCTAATTTATTATTCACTAATCCACTTATCTAATTATCCTTTTGAGTCTATTCATTTTACTAATTATCCCCACACTATGTACCCAAATTAGGCATAGCGGTTTGTAATGTTCCTGGCTACGGAGTCGAAGAGGTGGCTGACTCGACGTTTTGTCTTATCTTAAATCTTTACAGACGTACGTACTGGTTGGCAAACATGGTCAGGGAGGGGAAGAAAATAGCCGGCCCTGAAGCCTTGAGGGAGGCTGCCACTGGGTCTGCCAGAATTAGAGGGGATACTCTTGGTTTAGTTGGTCTTGGTAAGTTAGGGATTTGATGTTCTTCTGTGTGTGTTTGTGTGTGTGTCTGTATTTTGTTTATTTGTTTTTTTTCATTCATTTTCTCTGTTTTTCATCTTTTTTCATTTTATTGAATTTCTGTGAGTGTTGTTTGTTTTTAAAAGTCTTCAATTTTATTGCTAAACTGTCTTTGAAGGAATGTGGGCTTGAACGTTTTTGCAGTTTGTGTATGTGTTTGTATGTAGGATTACTCTGACTGTGTGTTAATTTGTATCTTTATGTTTGTATGTGTTTGTATGTAGGATTACTCTGACTGTGTGTTAATTTGTATCTTTATGTTTGTATGTATAAGGTCTGTGTTAATTTATGTTAATTCATGTTAACTCGTATTACCAGGTAAAGTTGGCACAGCTGTAGCATTGAGGGCCAAGGTATTTGGTTTCAATGTTATATTCTATGATCCATACATTCCTGATGGTAATGAGAAATCTTTAGGTTGGTTGACTGGCTGGTTGGCCGGTTGATTGGTTGGTTGACTGGCTGGTTGGCTAGTTTTGTTGTTTATGTTATTTCTCATCTCCACCCCCATTCCCTAATATATTTCAATTCCTACTACCCCCTCACGCAAGGCATTACAAGGGTGTATACACTCCAGGATCTCCTATTTCAGAGTGACTGCGTATCACTGCACTGTAACCTGAACGAGCACAACCACAACCTCATCAACGATTACACCATGAAACAAATGAGACCCGGTTAGTTTTTTTTTTCTTAGAGGTAAGGGATCATTTTTAGGAATGTGCTTGTTAATTGAAATTATAAATAGTATTTGTCCCACTATCACTGATTACAAATTTATTGCTATTTCGCTAATCAAAAATTGACCAATCACTGATCTCCAATTGTTTATCAACCGACCAATCAGGTGCATTCCTTGTGAACACTGCTCGAGGGAGATTGGTTGATGAGCAAGCTCTAGCCGTTGCTCTGAAGGATGGGAGAATTAGGGCAGCCGCACTCGATGTCCACGATGTTGAACCATTCAATTTGGCAACCAGTTAGTTGTGTATCTTTGCTGTTCTTGTGGCATACCAGTCAAATAAGCTTTCGTCAGATTAAACAAATCAATCAGTCAATCAATCAATCAACTTGCTAATCAACGGACTAAACAATCAACGACCACCCACCCTACAACCACAGGTCCGCTAAAAGACTGTCCGAACGTCATCTGCACTCCCCACTCTGCTTTCTTCAGCGATCAAAGTATCACTGAACTTCGAGAGATGGCTGCTGGAGAGGTGAGGCGGGCAGTGGTCGGAAGGATCCCCGATGGCCTGAGGAACTGCGTTAACAAGGAGTACCTGGCAGGTGACAGTTATGTTTTGAGAGGTAGCCAGAGTTAGGAAGAGTAGTTTTCAATGTGATGCTAGTTGCAAGATCCAAGTGAGTTTTCAAATAGGGCAGATCCGAGCGAGATTTTGAGATGAGGACTTTATTGTGAAATTGAGTAGTACTTAGTTATTATATATTTTTATGTACTGATAGAATATAAAAAGCTGTTATTAGCCACCAGTGCAGTTTGAGTTACACTTACCAACAGAATGACAAGTCAAAAAAAAAATTAAATGGAAGCGCTTTAAGTCTTATTCACACTAATTTATTCACTCCCATCCTTAATTTCACTAATCACCCACTAACACAAATGCCCTCTCTACAAGGTTCGACGGAACTAACGACAAACAACATCAACAGCAGTAACAGTAGATTTTCGAAGTTTCAGCACCCACCCTCTGGCCCCAACTCTCTCTCCTCCTCCGTTCATTCATCCACCGAGCTCTCCCACCCATCTGTCGCTCACAGTGGCACTCACTTTGACGCTTCTCACTATCTCCCTGGTCGGCCTGAGTCCAATGTTAACATGCACTAGCAATAATTATCATAATTAATTAGAATATAAATTTGAATATTAATCATTGTGACTATTACGAAAACCTTTCTAAAGATCTTAATAATATTACTGCAACAGATTAAACACACGTACACACACACACGCGTGTGTGTATACATATATACATATACATATATGTAATTAATTACTCCATTATTGCTAGTGCGTGTTATATTTACATGAATTCACACATACATACACCTATAACCATATTAATGTTTCTCGTGAATTTGCTGTTGTTACTGACGGTGATGGTGTTAATAATTAAATAGTAAATATATATATGTATATTAATAATTAAATAATTAATAAAAATATATATATGTATAATAATAATAAATATATATATATATATAAACGGATACATATTTGTCATAATTATAAGTTATAATAGTATGGTGATTACTAATTGTTATCATATGTAACAGTGATGATGATGGTGATGTCTGTGCTTTATAATAGGACATCACATATGTATATATTGATACAGAATGTACACACTAGTCTTTTAAATATAACGCATACACACACACACACATATATATATATATATATATATATATATATATATATATATATATATATGTTGGTAATAGACCATAATTTTTACAATATTCTATAAATTCTACCGAATGTTTGGCGTTAATATGTTTGTATATCGCTTTTTTTCTCACTAAAGTTTTTTGGTGAACGTTTAGTTTATTAAAATTCAAAATAAACTTATTTTTCGAATTCATGCTGCAAATAAGGCCATATATCGATTCCGAATGAATCATCTTCAGTGCTCCTTGCTGTATATATAGGGAAATATTGACTTTGTCAAGATGAACTTTGACGTTTTAAAAAATTAACTTTGGCGTTGTAAAATTGAACTTTGATGCGAATTAGGTGTCAGGTTCTTAATTGGCTGGTCATCTTCTTTGGTCTCCTTTTCTTCATCGATAGCATCATATTTTTCTTTGTCACTATTTACGATGCTAGTTTTTATTACTTCTTTGTTTTCGTTGTTGGTTAAGCGCCGGGTTAAGCGTGAGGTTGTCAATATACAACAAAAAATGACAACCTCGTCAAAGTCAATATTTCCCTATATATACAGCAAGGAGCACTGATGATGATTCATTCGGAATCGAAATATGGCCTTATTTGCAGCATGAATTCGAAAAATAAGTTTATTTTGAATTTTAATAAACTAAACGTTCACCAAAAAACTTCAGTGAGAAAAATCGAAAAAACGAACTACATACATATTAACGCCAAACATTCGGTAGAATTTATAGAATATTGTAAAAAATATATATATATTGTATAAGGATAGTGTTTTTAATGTGTTTAATTACATTAATATACATAAAAACTGACTTTTCTTCTTGTTTAATCATTTTTTTGTCGATAGCTATTTTTTACAATTAAATTTTAATTAAAGGAATGATTGGTGGGCTGATTGGTTGGTTGATTGATTTTAAGATTGATTGATTGGTTGGCTGATTGATTGGTTGATTGATTTAAGGATGGTTGGTTGGTTATTGATTGGTTGATTGATTGATTGACGTGAATGTATATGTACATATTACAAACATCATGGTTATATGGGCTAAACTTGTTTTTATGAAAACAATTTTTCATCCTTATTACTCAAAAGATTTTCATCGTGGATGTTATCCATATTATTATTTTTATTACTTTATTTCAATTTCATTTTCCAATCACTTTCTTTTGTACAGTTTAATGGTAATTGTAACTGTCGATAAATCTTACTATAATCGACTTACAAACATACCTACATTCATACCTTACATACATATATACAAACAAACAAACACGTACATACAGACATACATAAACTCTTTTAATCATATTATCTCTAATATCTCTAGCTGAAAAAAATTTTTGTTTATTTTTCACTCGATTGTTGTTAAGAAAATAGAAATAAATATATGTATGTATTTATATATGTTGGATCAAGACTGTCAGAAATGCAATCATTGATGAAAATCACGGCATGTTCTGCCTTAGTTAGCTTCTTGTGGAACTGGAACATGAATTGAACAGAAGTTAACTAATGCCTGAACATTCCGTGATTTTCGTCAATAATTTATCTGAGTGTATATGTCTGTGTATAGTAGTGTTTTAAATCAGCAAATTCGTGTTTGGTTTTTTTTTTATATAAATACCTAAATATAATAGAGAATCGGAAAATCAAATGATTATGCTGTATAGAAAAATTAAATGGATTTATCATTAAGTCATGTTTCTTTACTACTTATCAATGATTTTTCAACGGTTCTAGTTGAAAGTTTTGTTTAATACACGCACACACATGCATACATACATACGCACATATAGACACACGTGTTCTTCATTGGTAATGATTTCTCTGTCACACGTTGAAATAAACATATTGAGGAAAGTTAAAATTTGTTCCTTTGTGTATTTTGTTTGTATGAATGTATGTGTGTGTTTGCGAGTGTGTTTGTGTGTGTGTGTGTAACCAACGAAAATGTTTCAATATTATGAAAAAAAGTAATATGGTATCAAAAACAATGATACAAATTGTTATCAATCAATTAATCAATCAATTAAAAAGTTTGATTGATAGATTGTGAAGCTTCCTAAATTGATTGACATTTCGATAGTGCTAATTACCATACAAAGTAAATTTTTATTGTTATTAGTGGACCCAGTAGACCAAAAACTACAAAGAGTGCGAAAAACATTGCTCAAAAAAAGTGCTTCATGTTTACATTTTTATCTCCCAAATGGTTCAGAGCAAGCATTTTGTTAGTAAATAAATATACCAGATCCGTATTTGGGTGTACTGCGCATATATAATATGTTAATATGGTAATTTCTCTCCTCTCTCTCTCTCTTTCTTTCTCTCTCTTTTTTATACATATATATTTTTACACAGGAAACGACAGATTTTTAAAGAAAGTAATTGAAATAATGTAAGGAATGATATTTTACTATCAAGGAACAAACATTATACAATAGCAATCATCAATTAATATGCTTTCTCTCTTTCTCTCTCTCTCTCTCTCTCTCTCTCTATATATATATATATATATATATATATATATATATATACATACATATATTAAACCCTAATCGATAAAATATATAATGTCAAGAGATTGACTATAATTGTAAGACTATCTGCGATTTTTAACTAAACTCATCTTTAAATTGGTGGTAAAATGGGAGGTAAATATAAGAGTAAAAATAGAAGTTTATTTTTAAACATTTTTCTTACGAGCTAGTTGCACGTTTTGGGTCGTAAATTTAACTAATTCACCCTGATGATCGATAAAAAATGACCTTTTTTAGTTTAATATTTTGCCAAATAATAATTTTGATCTTAATTTCACGGCAGGTTGTTAAGATTACTGACTCCACCTGCAAATTCTTGATTGGCTGTGTGAGTTTCTGTTGTTGTTTTATGTGTGATATATTATAATATAATTAGTATATAATATAATAATTATATACATATTTAATATATATATAATATAACGTATATATATATAATATATATATATATAAATATCTAAAATTATATAAAATACACTAGGCTAGCTAGAGACTAGACTAGATATTATTTTTTTATTTATTATTATTACTAACCAACAGTTAATTTGAATTTTGAATAATCTATAATTCTATAGTTTATAATTTTATAAATAATAATACAGATATAGATTCTATATTCTATCTCTATGCTATAGTAAAAAGTAAAGTATAGTTTATTCTTATATAGACTGCGTCTACATGTAGTTACACACAAACATGCATTTTACACTTTTATAAAAAAAGATTGTTGTATGTTTTTGTATGTTATATACTTATAAAGTTTATACAAAATATTATATACAAACACATACAATCTTTATATATATATATGTATACATATATATAAATATATATAAATATACTCTATTATACATGTTTTAGTTATAGCATAATATATATATATATATATATATATATATATATATATATATATATATATATATATATAGTTTATTACATATGCTTTCATTTACACATACATGCATATATTATACATTTAGTTTATGTATGAGGATATATGTATTTATTTAGTAAGTAAGTCAAAGCATTTGGTCTAAAGGTCGTTATTTTATTTAACATTGTGATCTTCAAGCTGTGATTGTATAGCATGACATGGTTCTACACTGTAAAAGCATGCTTTGATTGACTAGCAGTTGATTTAGTACTTCTGAGTAGTGATGTTTTCAGTTTAGATTTTATAATTTTATTTGATAATTTTTAAAAAATTTATGAAAGTTGTATAAAATTTATTATTTTTTGTAATTAAAAACATTTTATATTGTTTTTTATTTCAGTTGTTTGTTACTCACTGCTGCTAACTTTTCGATCAGACTAAAGCATTGAAGAGATACATCAAAAACATTCAGTTCATTTTATCTTTCAATTGGATATCCCACACAAGACTGTTACCCTAATTCACTAATTAATTGATTGACATCACTAATTATTATATACCAACACAATGGAACGCTGGGTCATCAAAGTATTCACACTAATGGGTACTTTTTTGCTGCCGCTTTTCAGCACTTTGTTACCATATCGTCTGTCACATTGCATCGATCAACGAGGCCAGGCGGGCAAACGTATATTAAGTTATCTCATGTGTTTCGGTGGGGGCATCTTTTTTGGGACTTACTTATTACACATGGGCCCGGAAGTGAGGATGTTGTTACATGAATCGTTATTAAAGCCCTACAACATTGACTATCCACTGTCTGATTTGTTCACTGGGATTGGATTTTTTGTAGTTTTGTTTGCTGAAAAAATTGTTTTGAGATGCAACAAAAAACGTTTAGAGCACAAACGACAGTCCATGTACATAAACGAGACGGAAGAAATTAGGGAGTGGACCCCTCCCCCGGGTCACGTGTGTGCCAACCCGACAGATACTTGTCAACCGTGCATCATGGGGCTGCCATGTATTGGAAGGGATGGAAAGGTCATTCATGAAATTGATGACGATGGAAATTTGAGGCCAATATCTGGTGCCCATGTTGAAGGCCTAACAATGATGACAGCCCTGAAAAACAAACACGACGACACAAATTATTCACGCGACGGGTCGGGAGATGGCTCCACTGGCGACAACTACGAATCAAAATCACGCGAGAAACAAGTTTTTTCAACATCAAAAACGTCCGATGGTGACTTCTCTGCCGACTCCAACCACAGATATCAACGTCGATCAAGTTTGAAGACGCGTCCTGAACTGCACAGGCGTGAGAGAAAGATTAGCGAGGTGGCCAGCTTGAATGGTTTCGGTCAAAACGAACACACCCACACTTCGACTCGATCGATAATCCTCATCCTGGCCCTCTCACTTCACAGAATCTTTGAAGGAATGAGTGTCGGTCTGCAAAAAAGCACCCAAGATGTCCTGAACCTCTTCCTAGCAGTCATGTGCCACGAAACTGTCATTGGATTCAGTCTCGGCCTGCAGTTTGTCAAATCAAAATTCCCACTACGTCGATTAGTCGTTACATCCCTAGTTTGTTCAATCATCATGCCAGTGGGCGTGGCCATTGGGACCGTCATGACAGAAATCGGCCACCAAAGTCAGGAGTTGGACATCAGCAACGGCGTGTTGCAGGCGTTCGCCATGGGCACCTTCATTTACGTCACCTTCTTCGAAATTCTTCAAGAGGAAATCGATCCGGAGGACACGAGCATCGGGAAAGTTATTTTTATCGCTCTCGGGTTTAGCATGATGGCTTTACTTACGTTAATCCCCGAGGAGCACGTTAGTGAGATCAGTGAATTAGGCACGCCGAGCAATAGTACTGAAAATATAACAAATGCCTTGCTCAGCAATATGACGTCATTTTATTCCACCAATCATTAATAATTATGCTTTTATATAATATTTATAACTATAATAACAGCCGTCTATTTTTTGTATGATCTATAATTATAAAATAATATTATGGCGTTGGTGTCTTGAATGTGTTGAAGGAAATTTTCTCCTGTCGCATTTTGTTGTTCTTGTACATAGGAAATGTGATTGCTGTGACATTAATTATTATTATTATAATAAAAAAAAATTTATTATTATTATTATTGTTATTTTTATTATTATTGTTTTCGTTTGTTGTCTTTCTCTCGTTGACAAAAAAACTGGCCTGCTTCATTTATAGCAAATCAAACACATCTGCTTATCATTATTTTAAATACATTTTAAGTTTTTGGAAAGGAATATGTAAATGTATATACGCTATGTATGTGTGTTTGTTTGTAGGTGTGTTTGATTGTTTGTGTGTGTCTGTCTGTGTGTGTGTTTTTGTCATAGAGGCTTTTGTTATTTATTATTAACTGGGTATTCTTTAATGGTTTTAGTTAATCATTGCTGTGATTGTCATTAATTACTAACAAATAATTTTATCCATAAATATTTGTATATATATATATATATAGAGAGAGAGACAGAGAGAGACAGAGAAAGAAAGAGTATGTAAAGAGTGCAAGAGAGAGAGGGAGAGAGTTTTTTTTTGAGGTTTTAGTTTTGTTAAATATACGCTTCTCTGATTGCAATCAATGTATCACACTATTACAAATGTCTAATGTATTTATGAAAATTGTGTTGACTATTCTTATTATCTTGTTATTACGTCCTACCTCGGGGAACTGGGTTAATCTCTGGAGGCTAAACGAAGATTGATTGATTGATTATTATCTTGTTATTAGTTCTTTTCATTTCTGTTGTTTATGTTTTTCTGTTTGTCTTCAATCAAATTTTAAAAGAAGTTTTTTAAAGGGTGTCGTAAATGTCTTATAAGTTTTGAAAAAGGTCTGTTGTTGGCTTATGCTATTACTTAAGTGCGTATGTTTGTATGTGTGTATGTTTGTATGTAAGTTTCATGTATGTATGTATGTTTGTTTGTTTGTATGTATGTTTGTTTGTTTGTTTGCGGTTATGCAAGCGTCTTTTAACAAGGAATGGCTGAAAGGAGTTACCACCGTATTTTTGTCCTATGTTTGTTAGCCTGTTACCAGTTTAAGAAGATCCGTAATGATAATAATTCCAAATTAAAATAATTAAAATAATCACAGTGATCACAATAACCCCAGTGCAAATGTTATTAACAGTGAAAATACTAGTTAAGCTTGATTGACAAGGCGTTATTTTTTCTGTTTTGAATGTTAATCCGTGTTATATAAAAATATTTGTGTGTGCGTGTGTGTGTGTCTGTGTTTTTTTGATGAACAGGTATTGATTGTGTAAATTGAGTTTCAACGATTACATCGTCTGTTTTATTTCTTTTTCTCCATCCATTCATTCATTCACTCATTCATTCAACTTATTGCTCATTCTGTCGTTCATTCATTTAACATTTTTTTCATTCATTCATTTATTTGTGTATATACCAATTCATACAATCACTCACTTTTTCTATATATTCCTTTATTATATTCATTCATCCATCTATCTGATTCATCCATCCATTCATTCGTTTATTTAGTCGGATGCATATAATAGTTAATTTGTATTTTATTTTGATATACAGTTTAGGTAATTCGTTCACTCATTTTTAGTTGAGGAATGTCTAAATGGAATATAACGAGAATAACTATAATTATTAATAAATAATAACTTTGTTGAACGAATAAAAATTGTGATTTGAGTGATTGCCAGTTATTTCATTTACTTGAAAGTTAAAAATACTTGTACTAGTAGCAGCAGAAGCTGCAGCAGTAGTAGTAGCTACAACAGTAGTAGTAGTAGTAGAAGTAGCGGTAGTAGTAGTAGAAGTAATATTAATAATTATATCAAAAAACGAGTGATTAGATTACCAACAATAAGTAGTATTACTAGCAAATCACTGTCTTAATCTTGCTGTAAAAGTATTTACGTTGCAAATAACTATAATAATAATAATATTATATTATAAGAATATATTATATTATAAGAATATATTATATTATATTATAAGAAGTAATAGTTTTCAGTAGAAATTATTTTTAATCTTTGGGACAGAAAGTCTGAATGTAGGAACCTTTGGCACTTAGTATGATTGTCGAATTCATTCAGACTCAAACTACTATCATATATCATAATAATAATTATTATTATTTATTGTTATTATTTATTGTTATTATTATTACTATGATTCTGACCTTCGCTATTGTTCTTAGTTATTATAATTATGATTATCTTAAAATATTTTCATTATTATTATTACGATTATACTCATACTGTCTTGTATTATTATTAAATTATTATTTAAAATATTTCCATAGTATTTTAAACCGTCGGCAATATGCTTTTAAACTCGAACATAGCATAACATAGCTTCAGTAACGACATATACAGTAGTAGTAGTAGCAGTGACAGTAGTAGCTACAGCAGCGACATGTACAGTATTAGCAGTAGTGGTAGTAAATAGTAGTAGTAGAACAAAAGTAGTAGTAGTAAGTAATAGTAGCAGTAACGACATAAACGCCTTTAGTAGTAGTGGTAGTAAACGCGTAATCTGAAGTATTTAGTAAGAAAATGATGATTGAACTATAAAATACGAGATAATACAGGCCGTAGCGGTAAAATAAAAATGAGAATGGGAATAATTGAGAGTAGAAATTTGGATAATGAAATTAGTAAAACTAACAAATTTTACCAAAGTAACGTCATCACAGTTAACAATACTGGTATTATTAGTAGCAGTAATAAAGGGAATGCCAGTTAGAACATTGGTTTCGTAATTATCAATAATACTATAATGTGAAAATCTATTTCAGATTATTTGAAAAGGAGACAACACATTTTTCTGCATGTAGTTTATCGTGTAGATCAATATATAAAATACGACTCGATGAAATGTATATATACACACACACACACACACAAACACAAATATATATATATACATATATATGTGTGTGAAATGTACGTAAAACATAACACACAAACAGAAACACACACAGGCAGACACACAAACACACAATTTATGAAACGTAGATACGGATAACGAACGAAATGTTAAACCAATGAATAAAATGAAACTGTTTTATGGCATGAACCGACACGCATTTAAACTTTCTCCAAAAAGTTGTTAAAAATGAAACAAAACATAAAACAAATGCTCAACAAGAATTATACATATATATATATATATATACACACACACACACATATATATATATATTTATTTGTCTGTAAAAAATTTAAATTAAAAGAACCAAAAACAACATCACCATAAAGGCATAAATAAACAACCAACAAGGAAACATGAACAAACTCAAAATTCCAACTCGTTATCACAATCTCAAATATAAACCAATACTTGCAATTAATCATATACAGTTAAGTAATTCAGAGATAGATAGATAGATAGATAGATAGATAGATAGATAGATAGATAGATAGATAGATAGATAGATAGCTAGATAGATAGATAGATAGATAGATGGATAGATAGATAAAAATAAATAGATAGAGGGAGAGAGGGTGAGAGAGAAGAGAAAGATAAAAGGAATGTACAACTAATGTGATGTGCTATGAAAAATTAGATGACAAATTAAATGAACCGATATCGTAGTAATCCCCACAGTTAATAATATCTAATTCCCCATTTTCGAGAAAAAGTGAACTTCCACAAGAAGTGGATTTAAAATGAAAAGAATATGCCCTCTTCCCAGTAAACACGCCCTCACATTTGCCACACTTAAATTTTGTGTGCACTATCTGGTGTTTTTGAAGTTCACTTTTAGTTACAAATGATTTCACACAAAGTAAGCATTTGTACTGCTTGTGTGATGTTTGAGTGTGTGCTGTTTGTACGTGCCTCATTAGGTACCTCAGAATGGAAAACTGCCTGCCACACTGATGACACATTAGAAGGCTGTTGCTTGGAATGTTCTGGAAAGTGTTTTTACTATCATCATTTTTGTCCATGTTTTTCAATCTCTTAGGTGTTCTTGGTATTTTAATGGATCTGTGCAGTTGTAGGTGTGCATGCAGGTTTGTAGGATTACTCAGAAGTTTATTGCATATGTGGCATTTTCTTTTGGAGATGGTGTCGACGACATGCTGTCGAATAGGCGTGCAACTTTTTTCACCATCACTGCTGTTGTTGATGCCATCTTCAAAAAATTTTACAATTTTCAGTGGTTTTTTTTCAAAATTTTCACACATTTTGTTTGTAGGTTTAACTTCAACAGAATTATTGAGGCTGTTTTTGTTATCATCATCATCGTCATCGTCATCATCACATTTCAAATTCATGTTTAGATGATTAGTTAGATCACTTTTATCATTACTATTTGAAAATGAATATTTATCTAATCTGAACTCTTCATCACTTTTATGCACAGACAAGCAATGCCATTGAAGTGAAACTTTCTGACCAAATAATTTATGGCAATAAGAACAACTATAACTCCTGACACCTTGGTGAACAACAGTTAAATGCCTCTTTAAATTTCCTTTAGATGTAAATACATGTTTGCATAATTCACATGAAAATAATTTTTCTACTGAGGTTTGGTTGTTGTAAAAGAATGAGTTATTCTCTGAATTTCTGTGTGATTTTTTGTGTTTCAACCAGAACTTTTTTCTAACAAATACTCTGTTGCAAGTTTTACATTGATAGGCTTTTGAAAGTTTAGTTTTATCACAAAGTTTATCATATCTGATATTAATTTTTTTCATTTTTGATGATTGTGACCGCTGTGGAAGAGATTTAACATCGACACCATAGTCTGCACAGAGTTCAATGAACTCATTAGACTCATTAGAGTTGTCATATTCACAAGCAGCATCATCTAAATCTAAATAGAGATAATTTACAAATCTTTTCAATGTGCTGCTCTTAACGTCATCTATTCTCACAAAATTTTCTCTTTGATTTTGAAGTAACTGTTCTTTGAAGATCTTACTCTTGGCAGCCAGGACAATTTTATGCACTGGCAAAACCAGCTGGTCTGCCCCATAAATTTTAAAATCACAGAAGTGGCCTTGTTCCCTGAGCTCAAAAATTCTTTCACCAATCGTCATCTTTCGTTGTTTTAATTTAAAACTGTCCTCGGCTATTAGTTACAATTAGCACATCTTTTCAGATGATGGATTTGTCAGCAGAACACTGCTTGAAAATAAAAATAAATCATTTTATTTTGTTAAGCGTCAAATAAATTATTTTAATAACATTTAAGATCGTAAATTATTAGCAAAGAAAGTTGTAAAACAACGAATTCCGGAACAATTCCTATAAGTATAAATATCATCGATTAACACATCTACCCCCCAGAACAAACGCAGTCCTAGCACGGCAAGCAAATAAATAAAAGCACGTGACCACCATAAGCCAATCACGTTCGTTCGTAATTTTGGTATTAAACGGCTTCAAGTATCGTAGTGTCCGGATTTAGTTAGTGTCATTTTATTCCTAAAATTAGTTTTAAAATGTCTATTAAATGTTGCGCAGCCGGTTGCCGGAGTAACAGTGATCATCAAGGTCAGACATTCACATTTTTCCAGTTTCCAGACGAAAAGGCGAAGTAAGTTATTGTTATATGCCCGACATTTTAATATTTTTATTTTAATTAAATGAAAATTGTTTCGAACATTCGTTTTACACTGTTCAATTTAATTTTTTCAAATATTTTATTTATATTTGTAATCTTTACTATTAACTCTCTACAGTTTTTGATTTTTGTATCGAAAACCATGAATATTGCGAAAATGAAGATCCTAATTAAGCCTGGTCTCGCAAAAAATAATATTCGTTTCTTTCTCCATTTTATTTGAAATTTCCTGCAAAAATTCATCAAATTCTACTTTTTCAGTTTTCCCTCAAACATTTTTTGCTTAAACATGGCGGGTGATTTTCTTTACGCACTTTTTCAAGTTTTTTTTAGACGAATTAGCGAGATTTACCGTAATTTGCATTTCGGTGATTCAAATGAGAATTAGAGACTTGCGTTGATTAGGGATTTTAATTGATCAGGTAAGCCTAATTGCCACTAAACGACTTTCGTTTTAGGTGCAAATCCCGTTTGAGACTTCTCTTTTAGAGTGTTTAGGAAAAACTTTACATAAAAATTTGGACAAATAATGTTTAAAAGTGAACTTATTTTCTGCTTCAAAATTAAACTTTTTAACTACATTTAATTTTTTTGTCCAAATTTATTTTATCTATTCTATACCATAATTTGCTTAGAAAAACCTACAAACTAACTTTTTTTATTGATTATTTTAATTTAAATAATATGGAATAAAAAATTAAAATATTTACTTAATAATTAATTTAATGCATGCATGTAAATATAAAATAAAAAAAGCATTTTTCTAAATCAAAATAGTATTTGTGAGGTTTCACTAATGACTAAGTAATTGACTAATGGTGTACTAACTAACCTAAAACTAGTCCTAATCATTCAAATGTAATAAAATTACATTTGCACTACTAAACATTTTTATGAGACATCGATGTATTAATGTAGTGGGGTTCATTTTTCCATGCTTTAGCATGCAACAATGGCATAGAGTTTGTGTATACAGCTTTTTGTGTGCATTATGGGGATGTGTGTGTGTGTGCTTGCTGTATGTATGTCTCAGTGCATGTATCTGGATGAATTTGTCCTTTAGCCTATAACATAATATGATCGTTACTGAAAATTATGTCAAATTTCAATTGGCTGACTGACTGATTAACTATTCGGCTGGTTTTGATTGATTGATTGATTGATTGATTGATTGACATTTTATTAACAGATGTGATGTCTGGCTAGAAAGTATTGGTCGAGAGGATTTGAAGTATCTGTCAGCGGCCGACCTGTTTGCTCAGTATTACGTCTGCTCTCATCATTTCGATGAGGCCTATGTTCAGGTTTTTATTTGTAATTTTTTTTTAATGTCTCAAATGGCACTTGGATAAACATACCTTATATAAATTTTCATAGCCTTGCAAATTACTAGTTTCAACTCTTCATTAAAATTTAACCTTTAATATCATAGATATATATATTATATATATAATATAATAAATTAATGAATTTATTTTTTATTTATAAATATTCTAACAAAAATATATTAATTTTGAATAAATTTATCTCAAACAGGCTGCTTACAGTGATGATGCAGCTTATGGAAATGGTGAAGGTAAATGTATATTTTGTCATAATTTTATTAAAAATTCATAAATAATTATAATTAAATGTAAAAATATAATCCAAATATACAAAATTTTCACCCAAAGATACTAAAGTCATGCAAATTGAAGAGCCAATGACAAGTGACCAAGCCATCGACAGCACTATTGACGAGAACATTGTAATGGAAGACGGCATTGATGTTCTGAACGGGTGTAAAAATAGGCAGCTCGTATTTGTTGAAGGGGTTGGTCCCGTTTTTGTGAAAGGAGAAAAAGATAATTTGGAGTCCCCACCGCCAAGATTAGGAACTACGGCCTTAGAACGCTCCTCGTATATTTATCATTCAAGCTTTGCCAGCAGTAAAAACCATAGCAGCCAAAAATTTACTACTGCTGTTACTAGTTCGACTAGTACTGCTACAAGATCTCAAATCTACAATCCGAAGGTTCAGAAAGTTGTCAACAATGATGGCAAGCTTTTAATCTACGTCTGCGAAGATAGCGAGTCGTCCGATGTTTCAGCTGCCGCTTCTAACATCATGGCTAATGGCGTAGAAGCTGGTAGCAGTGTTGGCTTAACAGCTGGTAATCTTATCTATATGAAGCCAGGAACTAATGATCTTCTGCAAGGTATTTTATTGTCATTATTGATTTACTTGTGATTTTATATCGTAACTGATGGCGACCACTGACATTTTGTAGCAGGTCTCGGAAGCGATCCAGGAAAGCAGACAAAGGCATCTGCATCAACGCTGAACAACAGCAGCAGCAGCAGCATTAAAAAACATCACCTAACAAAAAGAAATGGTCTCGCAACGGGCACGGCGCAGTCTACGTTCTTACTAGTTACTAAAACATCTCCTGTCTCAGCAGCAGCAGCAGTATCAGCGGTGACGGCAACTGCGACGGTCGACAACGCATTCAAAATGGAGAAGGAGGACGAGATGGAGTATTTGAATGCAGCAGCAGAGCATTCAGACATCTTAGTAAATGGCATCGACCACAACGACGATGACGAAGGGGATGATCTGTCAAACTGCAAAACATTCCTCTGCCACACCTGTGGCCAGGACTTCACTGACATAAACCAGCTGTCGAAGCACATGTACTGCCACAACAACCTCGCCCTGACTCCCGATGACGCTTACGACGAGTACGACGGTGAAGCTGCCGTAGTCGACGACGACGACGGTAATGATAATAGTAATAATGACGCCACAGGTGGTGATGATGATGATTCCGCCGGGGTGTATAACAACGTCATAAGAGAGGAGGACGATTCGCTGATTTTTAAGTGTGCTTCCTGTGGAATGGCCTTCAACATGTTCGACCAGTTAAGGGTCAGTGTTTCATTTTCTTTTTCGGTAGTGCTGATGGCGAGGTCGTTCATGGTGATGATGATATCTTTGGTGATGGTAATGATGATGATGATGATAACGGTGATGATGATGTTTAGTGGGCTTCTTGTTGCATGATGATGATGATGTTGGTGATTTCTTTTTAAATGACGATTTTCTCACCAACGAACAATAATATTGATATTAATTTTCTAAAAATAATACTCGACAGAGACACATGCAAACCCATGTAGACCAATGGGATCTTGCCAACATGGGCAAAATTCAATCCCAACAAACAGACACAAACACACAAACCACCGAGCAGATCCATGTCCGAAGCCACGTGCAGTCTCGAAACTACAGCTGCGACGTTTGTGGCGCTACCTTCAGCCACAGAAGTAATCTCAGTAGACACAAGCTGCAGCATTGCGCGGCCAAGAAGTTTCAGTGCGACCAGTGCGGCAAAGGTTTTACTCAGAAGTCGAATCTCATGTCTCATCAATCGATGGTTCACTACAATACTGGCAGTGATAGTGTTGCCCTATCAACTCTCAGCTTTTCTGGTAGGTCTGGGGCCGAGAGGATTCATAGAAAACCTAAGGTTAGTTGGCGGGTGCCGATTGGCTGGTTGATTTGATTGGCCTGCTTTTTGGCTTGGCCGTCTGTTTTTCAATTTATTAATTTTTGTATCATTCATTTTTAAATCGTTCACTCATTTATTTAATTATTCTCTCTCTCTCTCTCTCTCTCTCTCTCTCTCTCTCTCTCTCTCTCTCTCTCTCTCTCTCTCTCTAATTAATATGCGCTCTCTCTCCTTTCGCAGACACATAGCTGCGACATTTGTGGCAAATCGTTCGTTAGTTTGACGGGTCTGAAAAATCACGGAGCCCTGCATACGGGGAACCGCCCCTTCAAATGCGCCATCTGTGAAAAGGCCTTCACCTTGATGTCCTGCCTGAAGACGCACATGGGCACCATCCACACCGATAAGAAGATCTACTGCGAGCTGTGTGGCAAAACTTACCAGAGTGAACATTACCTGAAGGTCTGTTGCCCCGCCATTTGATTGGATGGATGGATGGATGGATGGATGGATGGATGGATGGGTGGCTGAGATGCTGTTGTCGTGCTGCTTGCTATGTGTGATTGACTGGATGGTTGGTTGGTTGGTTGGCTGGCTGGTTGTTTGGTTGTCTGGTTGGTTGGTTGGCTGGCTGCGTGCTGGTTCCGTGATCTGATTGGCCAGTTGTTTGTGACTGCTGCCATGTCATCAATCAAAAAATCAATCAACTTATCGACAAACTAACCAATCAATCAATTGATCAACAAACCGGCCAGCCAATCAATGAATCATTCAATGAATCGTTAATAATTTTTCCCACAGGTGCACCTACGTATCCATACGGGGACGAAAGATTTTGAGTGCGAGATGTGCTCCAAGAGATTCATCGACATGCCATCCCTGAAACTCCACACCAGAACTCACACAGGGGAAAAACCGTTTGTTTGCAAGGTTGGTTGATTGGCTGGCTTGGTTGGTTGGCTGGCTGGCTTGGTTGGTTGGTTGGTTGGTTGGTTGGCCGATTGATTGGTTATTGATTAATTGATTGCTTGATTGGAAATTAACCACGACCACCAACTTTGCAGATGTGCGCTAGATCATTCACGCAACAGTCCCACCTGAAGACGCACATGCGAATCCACACTGGCGAGAAGCCGTACGATTGCAAGGATTGCGGCAAAAAGTTTAGGCAGCTGAGCAACGTCTTAGAACACGCTCGAACCCACAGAAAGTAATGGAGATTCTGGCCAAAAGTTTATGCACTCAAGCAATATTCTAGTCTAGAACCTATAGAATATCGTGATTTGAGTGTGTTTGTTTGTGTGTGTGTGTTTTTAGCAGCTGTGAATGTAGTTTGTATAAGTTTGTATGCTAATGTATAAGCTTATTTATATACTGATATATCTGCAGGCTAAAAATGTATGTGTTTGTATGCTTATATGTATGTGTATGTATACAGTTGTATGTGTATTTATACAGTTGTATGTGTATGATTGTATGTTTAGGTGTATGTCTGTTGTATGCCTATGTATATATTTGTATGTATTGTTGTATGTGTATTTATGTCCGTTATTCTACGTACCTACTTTTAACAGTTTAATTTAACCATATGGAATTTTATAAATGAATGAATTATTGGATAAAGGATTGATTGACTGAATGAGTGAATGAATTAATTAATATTGTATTAGTTAATGAGTTAATTGATAGAAAGATTTTTCATTATATGTGTTAAGGTTGATGTGTATATTAAATTTATCATTGGTTAGTATTGTTGTAAATAATATTTAATTGAATATTTGATTAATTAATTGGTTAGCTAACTGACAAATTGATTGATTGATTGACTGATTTATTGATTGATTAATTGATTAATTGATTGATGAATCGTTGATTATTGACATGTACTTTGAACTCTAGCACATTGAAAACTTACTTGAATAACTTGTCTCCATTATTTTATTGTAATGAGTAAAATATCTTAAAACTGCATTCGCTAATAATCTTTTTAATAATAATAATGAAAATAATAATAAATGCAATAATATTAATAATAATAAATAAAAATAATAACGACACCGATATTATCATAATTTATTTGTCCGTACATTCGTTAGCGTATCGTTCGTTCGTTCGCTCGTTTGTTCGCTCGTTCATTCCTCTGTTCATTTATTCGTTCATTCATTCATTCATCCATTCATTCATATCTCTAACTTGCAGATGTATAGTACTACATTTAATGGAGTGATAGCTGGGAATTGTAGATTAATTTGGCTGGTAGAAAACAATACACCTATATATTCATTCATTCATCAATCAGTCCGTCAATCCATCATTTATCCATTTGTTTTTTCTCTCTTTCATTTGTTTATTCATTCATTTGTTCTTTCTTTTGTTCATAATATATTTTTAAAAATCGTTCATTCAGTCGTTTTACGAATTCTGGATTTTTGAACTTAGTTCTTTTCTTGCATTTGTTTGTTGATACGTTCTTTCGTTCATTCTTTCATTCATTCGTTCATTCATTCATTCATTTGTTCATTCATTCGTTCATTCATCGGTAATTGAATCTATCGGCTGGTCAGTTAATTTATTCGTCCCTATCCATCCATTCATTCAATGGAAAAAGAAGAGCTTTTTCTTGGGAGCATTGCTAAATGATGTTCTCTTTCTTTCTCTCTCTTTGACTGTATCTTTTTTCTTTTTTTTATTTTTCTCTATGTCTATATTTCTCTCTCTCTCTCTTTCTTTCTCCCTTTCTTTCCATCTTTTAAAATAACTTTTCAACGTTTATCTCCTCGTTTTTCTTTGACTGTTTCATCTCTCTCTCTCTCCCTCTCTCTCTCTCTCTCCTTGTTTTTTCTTTTTTTCTCTTTTTCTCTTTCTTTCTTTTTCTCTGTACACGTGCCAAAACTATAAATTTACTACTGTGTGAGAGCTTTCTTTTAGCATTTTCCTCCTACATGGGTTGTTTTTTTATTCACTTTTGTCAGGTTTAATTATTTTTTGTTTTTTTTTTACATCAACTTGGTTTTTCTCTTTCTCTCTCTCTCTCTCTTTCTCTCTCTCTTTCTCTCTCTCTTTCTCTCTCAAGCATTATATCTTTCTATGTTTTTATAATTAAATAATTTATTTTTGTCCATTTATTGTTTTTTATTTCATTTAAAATATCCACGTCTTTCTCTCTCCCTCCCTCTCTCTCTCTCTCCCTCTCTCTTTCTATTTTTCGTTTTCCTAATCTTTCTCTCTTCTAATTAATTTTTTTTGTTATTTCATGTAATACTATCCACATGCTAATACATGCTACACGAAGAATGCATACATACATACATACATACATACATACATACATACATACATACATACATACATACATACATACATACATACATACATACATACATATATACATACATACATACACACACACACACATACATACATACATACATACAAATATACAAAGATATTCATCTCAGAAGTATCAAAAATTCAAATATTCATTAATCCCAATTGAAATCACAGTATAAATCCCTTTATTGTTTTTATTTTCATTGTTTTTTTTTATTATTGTTGTTATTATTATTAAATCGCATTAATAACGAGCTTTTGGATTAAGCTTGGCTAAGAAGATATTGAATAAAAATAATTAAAATAAAAATGTATCATTAAATAAAATAAATTAAAATGACTAAATTCGTTTTTTAATTTCGGAATTTGTTTGTCTATCCATTTATTCATCTATTCATTTGTTCTTTTATTCATTCATTCATTCGTTCATTCATTTATTCGTTCGTTCATTCATTCATTCATTAAAACTAATTCATTCATTCGTTTGTTGATTTATTCATACATTTATTCATTCATACATTTGCCTTTTCAATCAATCAATCAATCATTCATTTACTCATCCAATACACTCATTCGTTCATACATTCATTCATTCAATCATCCAATACACTCACTCGTTTATACATTCATTCATTTCTTCTTTCATTTGTTCACTCCTTCCTTCCTTCCTCCCTTTCTTCATTTCCTCATCGCATTCTCTAACTTTCTTAAAATTCGCCAGAAAATTATTTTCCTTAAAATTAAACTTTTTTTTTTCTTCGTCGTCGAGAAATATTTTCCGAACTGTCAGTTTGAAAGTTTTTCAAGCGCGCTCACATGAAACAGCGGCAGAAGAAAAAAAAATAGCCAAACATTAAAGTGCTAATTAAAAAAATACTTAATTGGACGTACAGTACAAAATGCTCCCATATGGCAAGCGTACAAATATATGAATCTTTACAAAATGCTCCCATATGGCAAGCGTCTCAAAGAGCCTCTGACAACCAAGCCCAACTCCTGGCCTTCACGCGGCAGAACTGTTTAAACTAACAGGAGAAGGGGCGAAGGCGAATAACTGGCGCCATAACCAGTTGCTTCGGGCAGGTGAAGCTCGTTAGCCTTGGTCGGCTATTTACCTAGGAGAAGGAAAACTCTGACTTCAAACCTCCGCTGCCTTACGGCATACCTGTTCATGGGAAAGGCTATGGGAGCAAATCCAGACAGAAAACCACACTCCACCACCTGAGTTGCGGTCCAGTAATATCAGGTGCCGGTCCAAAGTCCGGATAGAAAGGAATGGTTGACAGGAGCTTGCTACACTGTCGTAAAAACGCTAATAACACGATGGTAGTCCAAAAAAAGTATGCACATACCGGCTCGGACGTCGCCCGGGTGAACAAGGTCCGCGCTGCAGCTTTGGAGACTAGAGGCTGCAGTGTAAAGTATGCTACTGAGTCCCAGAAAGATAGACTGAAGATGGGGTTGACAGTTGGAGTTTGGAATGTCAGGTCATTGTGGCAGACAGGGGCTTACGCGTTGATGAAGAAAGAACTTGAACGATTCAGATATGATGTGGTTGGTCTGTGCGAGGTCCGATGGACAGGAGGTGGAGAAATGGAAGGTGGGAAGATATTATGGTCTGGAACAGAGAGGGAGCACGTCTATGGAGTCGGAATGGTTATTGGCGAAAAAGCAAAAAAAGCACCGTTGGAGTACAATCCAGTGAATGAAAGAATGATGTATGCGAGGTTTAAGGGATACCCGAGAGACATTGATGTGGTAGTGGCCTATGCTCCAACAATGGATCACTCGGATGCAGAAATCGAGGCATTCTACGATCAACTGGAGCAAACATTGAATGTACTGCCAAAGAAAGATGTTAAGATAATCACCGGAGATTGGAACGCAAAGATCGGAAGAGACAATATTGGTTTTGAAGAAGTCATGGGAAAATATGGTATAGGAAACAGAAATAATAGAGGAGAAAGAAAGACTGCTGAAATTTGCAAAGGACCAAAAAATGTATATAACAAACTGTGTATGAAAGTGTCAAGGAAAGAAAGCTGGGTATCTTTGGGCACATCTGCAGAATGACAGACGACAGACTGATCAAAAAAGTACTGATGAGAAAGAGGGACTGGAAGAAAAAAGTTGGAAAACCTGTGAGGAAGTGGATGGATGATATCACGGAATGGACGGGGGTTGGAACATTGAGCTCAATGAAGATGGCGAGGGAAATAAAGGATTTTGGAGAGATAGAAGAATACCATCGGCCTCAACGGTCCCTTAAGGGATTACAGAGGATCATTGAATGAAATGAAAACAGTTAATAAAGTATTCGGGATATTTAGTAGTAGTAATAGTAGCAGTAGTAGTTGTGGAAGTAGAAGTAATAGTAGTAGAAGTAGTAGTAGTAGTAGTAGTAGTAGTGGTAGTGGTAGTGGTAGAAGTAGAGAATCGTTAACTTTAAAAGTCTAATTAAATAGACTTATTTGGCAAGCATATTGTTGCAGCTATATTAATAATATATTAAGTAGTAGTAGTGGTAATAGTAGTGGTATTAGTAGTAGTAGTAGTAGTAGTAATACAAAGTTGTAGTAGTGGTGGTGGTGGTGGTGGTAGTAGTAAATAAACCCGAAGCAAGCGCGCACAAACTTATTCTTTTGGATTTAGACGACTTTTATATCTGTAACGATTATATAGTTTAAGCTGCCCTGAGATGCAATTGTGTAAATTTCAGTATGGCCAGAAACTCATAAACTATAAATACTATTATTATTATTATTATTATTAGTAGTAGTAGTAGTAGTTGTTGTTGTTGTTGTAGTTGTAGTAGTAGTAGTAGTAACGTCAGAAAAGCTGATGATTTTCATTGAAAGAAAGATTGGTAATACAAAATGTAAATAAAATGGCCGGTGTATAAATGGATTGATAAATGAATGAATGAATGAACGAAATAGTGAAGAAATGAAAGTATAAAGGTTGACCGGATTGCCTTGCATACATAAGAAATGACTCCCCAGTCAGATAATCCTTGCGTTTCTTTATTTCACTACTTTGTTTATTTATGTATGTTTGTATGTTTGTTTGTATATATGCATGTATGTTTGTTTGTTTTTATATATTATTATTATTATTTGAAAACTTATAAAATTGATATATATATATATGTACATTATAAACCTATATGTATGTATGCATGTATGTACGAATGTATGTATGTATGTATTTATGTACGTAGGTTATGTTAAAATCAAAACATGATGAGTGACACTGAACAGTCAAACAATCAACTAACAAGTGGACGAACACTTTGATCTGTCGTTAATTCAATTGGATATTTTCCAACACAGAGACACGCAGGAACCGCTGCAACAAATACGAGATGTGGCTAGTTCCGTCGCTGATTAATTTACACATTGAAACAAGAAATTTAAGGGTGTTGGGGTCTATCAAGCCAAGAACCTCGATACATATTGGCAAAAATTCCTTGGAGGGTTAGGGTCTTCATATTTTTTATTTTCTCCTCCGCTGTCCTGGCTGAAGCCGAACCAGATTCCCTACTCGCCAGATTTACATATCTTTCGGCAAACATCTAACGGCTCGCCATGGTATTAGTGAGATCCATCGGGGCATATATGTATGTATGAATGTATGTATGTAAGTGTGTGCGTGTGTGTGCGTGCGTGTGCGTGCGTGTGCGTGCGTGTGTGCGTGTGACTTTTACTAACATAAATTTGTAGACTAAAGATTCTTTCTCCATAATTTAAAATAAAAAAAAAAGAAAGTTTTTGGGATTTAAAAAAAATTTTTTTAAACTGATTTTTTTATTATTATTATTATTATTGTTGTTGTTGTTGTTTTTAGTATATACGACCAGCAGACAAGAGAACCTAAATAA